TATTATGAACTATAATATTCAAAATAACAAAGAAAGAAATATAAATAAAGAAACAATAGAAGAAGAAAAGAAAAAGAATAATTACATCAAAAGAAAAACACAAAGAAATAATAAAATTAAATAAAACACTTTGAAACAACAAAACAAATGAACCACCAATGAAATAGTAAAGGAACCAGAAAATTATACAATAAAAATGAATAAATTAGAAATTAAAAAAGTTAAAAAATGACAAAAAGAAAAATATTTAATATACTATTTGCTTACAACATTGATAATTTGAATCAAACTACATTAATATGTGAACAAAGAATAAATAACATTGAGTATACAAATGGAAATAAAATAAAGTGATATGTTAATTCTAAAAATGATAAAGTTGATAATTATTGAAAGATTCAAAATGAATTTTAATTTGAATAGAAAAGAAGAATATATTAAAGAACCACAACATACATTTCATTTGAATAATAAAACATATAACCATTTGTTTTGATTTAGAGAATGATATGATATTTTGTTTAGAAAGAAAATGATAAAAAAAATGAAAACATACTCATTTTCATATAAATGAATAAGAAATGTAATTTCTTGAAAAAAATAACCACAACCTTTCACATCAAAACAAGTCATTGTAATTGAAAATATTAAATTACAATTATTTAAAAACAAGAACATTTCAAGTATTAATGAATGAAATGATGAATATAAAAATATATTTCATTTTTGTTTTATTTCATTTGAAATATTCACATTCAATTAATTAAATAATAAATAATAAGAAAAAAATAGAATTAAGAATAAGTGATAAATAAACATATAATAAAATGAATAAAAATATTCGTTTTTATTAATCATTTCATTGATTTATTTATAATATGAATATAAATAAATGGATATGATAATATAACAAAATAAGAATAAATAAGGATAATATAAATAAAATAAGATAAAACAAATTATTATATATTTCTTATTTTATTCTTCTTATTTCTATTTTTCTTTTATATTTATTCATTGATTATCATTTCATATTAACAATGATAAATAATAACACAATATATAATAAATAAATGGAAGAAGATAATAAATAATAAATAAAAGAATAAAATATATACAATAATGATGATATTTAACAATTCAACCATACAAATCAGAATCAAATAAGAATAGAATGTGTTGAAACAAATAAAAGAAGTGATAGATGATTATTGAATCAAACACCAATAAAACAATTAAATGAGAAAATAACTAAGAATATAAAATAAAAAGAGAGAAATTAGAAATGATAATAGTTCAAGAAATGAAAGGATGATGTGATTCATTATCTATAAAATAGAAAATAATGAGAAATGATTGTTCAATAACCATCAATATATTTAATACATTGAAAGGTACCAATCAAACTAGAAATAATTTATTCAGAAATTAAAGAACAAAAAAAATTAACATAAATCAAATAATATTAATATACAATTTGTATGTATTACCAAAGAAAGAAGTGAAGAATGGAATATTAATGAGAAATCAACTATTAGAATGTTACTTGATCATGTATGTACTATTAAAGAATTATCACAAACTGAATGACTAGTTATTATTGAATATTTACATTAATGAGAGATTTGCATATTCAGGAAGAAAGTAACAAATAATATTTGGAAGTATTAGCACTCCAGTAACATTTAGTTCACATACTGAAATATTTATAAACACAATACATTGAACAATGTCTAGTTAATGATAGAAAATGATATGAAGGATGAGGTGAATCAAATTCATTACTATTCGGATTTGTATGAATTGAAAAATTTAATAGAAGATATACAATGTATTGAACAACACTAACAATCAGATTATGAGATGGTATTCAATATTCTAAAAATTAATAAACATTAATAAACATTGATATTTTCAATTTCAAAATAATTAATAAAAGAAATAAAAAGAACTGAAAAAAGAATAATAAAAAAATGGATAATGATGATAGATTTAATCAAGTCAATACTCTCATTAGAAAAGAAGGAATAACAATCAAAGGATATTGTGTGAATGATAAAAGAATGATTTGTTTCAGTGATAATAATAGAATCATTTATTATAACATTGATACACAAGAAAGTATAATTCATACACCACCACCATTAATGAAATCAGCACCAATTATTAGTATTGATTGTTATGAAGATTTAATACTCACAATTTCAAGTGATTTCACTGTATTAGTCATTGAAATTGAAACATATCGAGTGTTTTATCGACAAGTGATTC